AGGTGCAACTTAGCAACAGCAGCATGAGACTAAGACAATTCTACACAGCTTGAGGGAGAAAGTCAACAGTGCCTGGCTGAAGCAGTCTTTGAGAAGCTGTTCTCTGGCTTCCAAGAGCTTTCAAGGGAGAAATGTTTTGACAGGTAAAGCAGCGAAGAAAAGTTATCCCAGATGTCCCAGAGCTTAGATAGCAGTCACACTGAAAGCACAATGGCACGGGATCATGTAACTTTAGTTAAAAAAACAAAAAAAAAAAAAAAAAAAAAAAAAAAAACTATATATCTCCATACTCTCTGTGGCAGAGAGCTGTAGGCTTTAGGTGAAGTTTGGACCACATCCTGAAGGTGCTTGGGTGCCAAAATTGGAGTGTTTCACCCAGTAGGTAAATGGGAAACAACAAAGATTTTCAGGTCGGGAATTGTAATATAAGTTGAGAGCTGTCATTTGACAACCTTGGTTTTATAGAATATGGATTGAAGAGAAATCAAAAGAAGGACTTGAATAGATGCTTGTTTCACTGTTACTGAAAGATGGGATCACACCAACGAACAAGCAGTAAGGTTGGAAAGACACAGGAGACATTAGCGTTTAGACATTGCCCTGAGGAGAGTGGGACAGCAGATAGGATAGGATAGAGAGGAGAGAGGCAGACACCAGCATGAATGACTGGGGCTGGAAAAACAGGGCACCACACACCAGAAAAAATAAGGCAAAACCCAAGAACACTGAAGCAAGGAGGTGAATAGAATGGATGCTATTTCCATATTTGCATTTTAATAAGCGCCACTCAAAATCATCCTCCTTTATGCTAACAAAGGACTCTGCACCTGGTTGAGCAGTGGGGTGATGGCGTCATCACAGCGGTCTAGAATGAGAAGCAGTGGAGGAACCTCTGTCCGCCGGAATTCAAAGAGTTCATATTCTTTACTTATCACTTGCTGAGGATAAAAAGAAAAATGGTTTGGTTAACTGTTAGCGGTAAGTAGAGATGACAAAATAGGAAATGGATAAAAACACAGGTAGCAGTTTTTCCACCCTCACAGGCCTCAAAGTCTTCACAAAGTTTTGTAGCACACTGTTATAAATTCAGGACTTGAAGCCTACTTCACAAGTGGCTTACTTGGGCTCCTAGAGTTAAATAGCTTTGACTATTTCTTAGGCTCAATCTAAGGGTCTTAGTGCTAATTTGTTCCTTATTTTTTTTTAACTGTTTTAAGTTGTATAGTCATACTTTTTTGCCAATAAAACTACAAAGAAGATAATCTTTGTTCCCTGTCTTTCTGTCTGCCTTTCTTTCTGTCTTTCTTTCTCTCTCTCTCTCTCTCTCTCTCTCTCTCTCTCTCTCTCTCTCTCTCTCTTTCTTTCTGAGACAGGGACTTACCTGGCATGAAACTTGATATGAAGACCAGGCTGACCTTGAACTCACAGAGATCTGCCTGCCAAGGCATGCACCGACACATCTAGCATTTCAGATATTCTTAACTATTACAGGGTAATGGCTAGCCTTGAGGTTTTAGATCTAGGAACAGGGAATATGACACCTTAACACATTCTCCAAGTCTTCTTGCAGCCTCTGATGACAGCTGATATCGAATCATGGGGCACTTCTTCAGAGATAAAAGGAGAGCTGTCAGTCCTTCAGTTGTTCTGGATAGCTGGGCTGGGTCCCAATTTCGGCCCTTTTTGTTAAAAACATATTAAAAGAAAATTTCTTAATTTTCTCTAACTCCAGCTACTTGAATTAATTTCCACTTAATTTTGAAAATCCTTGTCATCCATACCTGACAGCAACCCAAAATATTGAGGGAAAACAGATGTGGATTCACAGCAATGTAATCACCATAAAATTCCTGCAAATAAAAAGTATCAAAATCAGTTAATCCATGGACTCCAGGTGTGCTGAATGATATGGATTCTAGCTGTACCAGGTACTGTAATCAAATGGGAACATACAGGTTGAAGAAGTACAAGATGTTCAAATAACTGAGTAGCAACGGTCAGTATGGGGGACTGAACTATAAATACTAGAAATGGTAAATCTTCTTTTAAAAAGTTGAAGTATATGCACCAATGTAAATTTTCAATTAGTAAAATAAATAAAACATTGTGTAGGATACACTATGTTATATACCCAGTGTATTCTTGTGTGGGAGGATATGATTTAAAATAGGTCATTCTTTTTATATGTTCTACCACTTAGAATATCTTTTTGAAAAATTTAAAACTAGTTTATTTGTTGCCTGTGAAGACAGTACTTTCCATGTAGGTGATAAGTATATTTAAATATATATGGTAGATGTATTTTAGAACACTGAACTATTAAAGAAGAAAAAAATTTTCACATGCTAATGTTATATATTATATAGCACACGAAATAAATGCTTAGGTGTTTCCAAGTGACAGCCTAGTTACAGTATGAGTCTCTCAAACAGAATACTAAGAAATTTCATGCACAGCCTTTGATTCCTATTCTCTCCCAGTCAGGCATGGTCTTATTGATGAAGGTTTTAGAAGTAAGGTTCATAAACTAACAAAGAGCTCACTTGACTGTGTCCCCAACTATGAAAATGTCCCACCAATTCATCAGCCCACTTTGCTCCTTCCTACTGATCCCATTGATTCTATTTCTATCTGATTTAATGCCTCCTTCAAATTTTCTAAATATAAGTCTAGTGTGGTGTGTGCACATTTACCTTGTCTGGTCAGACAGCACCTTCCTTATTTTAGACTAAAATCTTTTACTGGCCACAATACAAGGGAGGTTACAGGACCCAGGCCCTTACCTGAACTTCAGCCACAACTTCCTGCTCATCAGCTTCAGCTAATGACTTCACATCACTCTTGCTGATCACATTACTGAAATCTGAAACAGACACACTGCGTTTGACTCAAATGGCATTGGTTTTGCTGCGATTACACTTACACAGGCCTGAGGTAAAGCCTAACGAATCAGTGAAGTTTAGCACACGCTGTGGTACATGCCAAAGTCACACACCTTCAGGCTGGAATGAAGGAGCACAGGCTGTTTAATGATGACATCAGAGGGTGCTACAGACTCAGACTGCTATCTTAAACAGCAAATACAGGGAAGAAGTAAACCTTTGTCCTCTTTTACATGTAAGTTGTATCAAATAAGAGATGATGGAAGATTTTTTATAGAAACATTTCATCTAAAAATCCCAACTCCTATTGAATAATCAATCCATAAACACTGATTTCACTAGCAATACAAGAAACTGATTTCACTAACAATAGAAGAGCAACCAGAGAAACTGTACAGCATCACCTTTTGAGTGAGTATTCTTGCCAAAAAGAAACCAAAACTTAATCCATGTCAGGTTCTTTATCCACTTACAGACATACACAGATAAAGGAACTTTTTTAAATTGAAAGAATATGTAGAACTACCCTGCAGTGATGAAATCGGGAAAATCCAGCCTGTAGAAAATGTACCTGCTTCCTCAGTAATCCAGCTGCATGGGAGAAGAGGACCTACAGAAAACCAGGAGCTCAACATACTGAGCAGTGAGGGTTAGTTAGTGGATGTTACTTTGATCCCGACTCACACAAAGAAAAAAGACAGGGAGAGATGAGAAAATTTGAATATGAACACTGAATTAAGTTCACAAAACTAGGAGTTACTTTTCATTTTTACCGGATGAATCTCTCTCTATTAAAGACACATACTGAAATATTAATGGATAAAACTTACATGACGTCATAGATTGGCTTAAGAATATTGGTGGGTAGTAGATGGGATCATAGTTCAAACAAGACTGGATGTGGCTGGGTACCCTTAGGGATTCATCGAACTATTGTACTTGTAATCATTTAACATTTTCCACAATGCTTTTAAAGTCCTTTTTTTAAATAAAAGAGGCCTGTTATATAAGAGAGTTATAGACCTAAAATTATTAAAAATGAGATAAACAGAAGGCCAGTTTAGTGTTAAATTGTGCTAAAAGCCTATATTGAATAAAATTACTAAATATTAGTTTATTTTCATTTACTTTAACCAAATAAAATCCTGAAATTGATTGCCATACCCTATTTTCTACAATTTAGCACTAATGTGACCTTTCCTCTGCTACCCTTTGTTAGGCAGGGACACTGTGTGGAGAAGTGGGGCAACGTGATGCTATTCCATTTTTAGCAAAGAAACTCAGGCAATGAATGCTTCTATTATATACTGACTTAATATAGAACTCAGGGCAAACATAAATTATATATACATATCTAGAACTGAGGCTGTAGCTTGTAATTTGACAAAAAATACTAAAATGACTATACATGAGCATGGCCATTTCATGGAGTAATACCTCAGACCTATGGGGAATTAGCAAAGCCTCCTCTTGGGGCTCAGAGGGAGAGCAAAACTTTCCTCTGGTGGGAGTTAGAATGTTGGCAGTGTTAACTGGGTGGTGGTAGCACATGCCTTTACTCCTACCACTCAGGAGGTAGAGGCAACAATCTCTGTGAGTTTGAGGCTACCTTGTCTATAGAGTTAGTTACATGACAGTCAGAATTGTTACACAGAATCTTGAAAAAACAAAACAAAACAAACAAAAGAATAGTATGAACCAAACACTACCATCTGCAGCTTGCTCCTCCAGATGTGTGCAACCTGAGGCTGCCCTCTCTTCTACAGAGACCTCCTAGGAAGTTGTCTAAACCATGTACCTGCCACTGCTCCCTGTGCACAATAAACTTGATAAGGTTCCTGGTTGCTGCACAGCTGGTACTGCTCCATCAGAGTGCACACAGCCCATCTGACCCCAGCTCCTCATTCCCTCACCACTCTTAGGTTTCCAGGACTACGCTGCTGAGTAGAGGTGCATACCTGTCACACTGACTAAAATGGGCGTCAACACCATCAAATGACTGCAAGGATGCAAAGATACTGAACTACCCCTTCATTGCTAGTGGGGTTACTTTGAAGAACACTAAACATACCTTTACCATATGGCTCAGCACTTGTGCTACTGGCTATCAATTATCCAAACGAAATGAAGGCTGTGTTCACATGGAAGCCTGTTCAGAGGTTTATGACAGCTGCATCTTAGTCAAACTGGAACAACTCAGAAGTCCTCAGTGGTGAGTAGTTAAAGTGGAATACTACTCATCAGTAAAGATAAATTAACTTATATATACAACCACCTGAGAATTACACTGAATGAAAAAAATCCAGCTCCCAAGTGATGTACTGCTCTACTTACAGAACATTCTTAAGATAACAAGTGTTACAGAAAGAAAAGAGTATCAGTTGTCAGGGCTAATGATGGAGTTGGGTGGAAGTTGATATGGTCAATAAAAGAACACTATAAGGAATCCTAGTGGGTAGAGAAAGGCTCTGCTTCTTGACTGTGTCCAGTTAACATCCTGGGTACATAACACTGCACTACTGTCATGTTAGATGCTACAATAGGGGAGACTGGGTAAACAGCATTCCATTCTGGATTTCTTAGTTTTTATAACTATGTATCGCTTTAGCTTGTTTTCTCTGCCAACAGCACAATATCACTGTCTGGGTAAGTTAAAAAGAATAGAGTACATTGGCTCATAGTTCTAGTTCAAAGTTTAGAGGCCACATGTAGTGGGGACCTTCTTACGGGCAGTGAAGAGAGGTGCAGGGCATCACATAGCAAGAGACAGGGATACCTGGCTGAACTTGTTTCATAGCATGATGGGAGATGTCATTCTGTATATATGTTTCTCATACTGGTCAATGAATAAAGCACTGTTGGCCAATAGGAAAGGAAGATAGGAGAGGCTAGGAGACAAGGAGGAAATAGGAAGTAGAGAGAAGAGCCAAGATGGAGAGTCTGGAGAAAGCAGTATGCCAGCAGGCTCCCCAGTAAGAGAAATACATAGATCAGCAGAAATGGGTTAATACTTAAGATAGAGCTAGCCGATAAGAAACTAGTAATGGGCCAACAGATTATATCAAATACAGAGTCTCGGTGTGCGTTAATTGGGGCAGGCACAGCGGGCAGGAAAAACCCATACTCGTTACAATAGCAGACTCTCTTTTAGGACGTTAACCCATCAACCATAAGAGCAGATTAATTACCTCTTACAAGTCCCATCTTAACACTTCATATCAGGATTAAACTTCAACATGAGTTTTGTTGTTTTTCTTTTTTTGGGGGGGACAAACCATCAGGCATGTAAATCTACACTTATTTTTATATAGCTTAATTTAAAAAATAAAAACTATGACTATTAACTCAATAAACAAAAAGTAGGATGAGAAACTATTAAAAATATTTTACCTGTTGGATAGTGTAAGGCTCAAATGAAGTAGCATATGAGACAGTTCTTTATAAACTTTAAAATACTATTTAAAGTTAAATTTGGCATTATTATTATTATTATTATTATTATTATTATCATTATTTGGTTTTTACTGACAGGCTTTCTCCGTGTGACTCTGGCTGTCTTAGAACTCACTCTGTAGACCAGGCCTGCCTCCGCCTCCTGAGTGCTGAGATTAAAGGTTTGTACCACCACTGCCCATTTAATTTTTGGCATAATTAAATAGTACAATATGGTAAAAGAAATGTGTAATCCTAGAGTCCAAGATATACTATGTACTAAAATATAAGAAAGACCCTCTCAAGTGTCCTACTTTCTTCCCTCCCTCCCTCCCTCCCTCCCTCCCTCCCTCCCTCCCTCCCTCCCTCCCTTCCTCTCTTCCTCCCTCCCTTATTTCTGTTTTTAAAACAAGGTCTTTCTATGTAGCTTTGGCTAGCCTGGGACTAGACCAGGTGGTCATGATCTGCCTGCCTCTGCTCATGAGTGCTGGTCTTATAGGCATGTACCACCATCACCACTATGCTAGGCCTAAGTGTCCTACTTTCTGGGTGCTAAGTTTGCTTCCTGGTTTTGGAACCAGCTCCAGACTCTAAGTCTACAAAGAGCAATGTTGACACCTAGAGGAGACCAATTGTAACTTCCATAGCAGAATGGAAGAAAACTCCAAATAAATTTGAGTAGTCATGAGCCTGTTGGTTTCCAGAGTCTTCCTATACACGCCCCCATGTGGGCACACAAGGGATAACTGCTTGGAGATGTGTCCTTTCTTTCATCACATAAAACACCAAGATAAGTGGGATGAATTCATCTGCTGTATAGACACATTTTGCATTGTTCAATAAACTCACATACATCCTTCCCCAAATAAATTAGTTCCTATACTTCAATTCACAGGTGAAACACAGGAGTAAGTAAATACTCGATGGAGGAAAAGCATGCAATTTGACTAGTAATAATAAGTCAGCCTTTTAAAATGTAAAGTGAAGTAAAACGTTTTTATCTAAGCAATCATTGATGAGTAGAAATTATTTTGATTTTAGAAAGGGAATGATGGCTATGACCTAATTTTTAAAGGTAAATAGTTTTTATTTTATGTATATTTTGTCTGCATCTATGTCTGTCCACCATAAGTAGGCAGTGAGTGTCTGTGGAGGCCAGAAGGTATCAGATCTCCCGAAGCTGGAGTTATAGATGGTTGTGAGCTACCATGTGGGTGCTGGGAATTGAACAGTGGTCCTCTGGAAGAGCAGCCAGTGTTCTTAACCACTAGACCGTCTCTCCAGTCCCTACACTACTTTGTTTGTTGTTTGTTTTTTGGTGTTTTGTTTTGTTTTGCTTTTTGAGTCAGGGTTTCTCTGTGTAGCTTTGGAGCCTGTCCAGGAACTAGCTATTGTAGATCAGGCTGGTCTTGAACTCACAGAGATCCACTGACCTCTGCCTCTCAAGTGCTGGGATTAAAGGCGTGTGCCACACCTGCCTGGCTCTCTACACCATTTTTAATACTTTGAATATATAAGCTTTTAAGTTATGAATTCAGTGAACTTGATGATACAAGTTACTCAATAGCCTAGACTAGCTGGGACATACATTTGTGACTAAAACAGTGAACTAACATACTTACAAATAAAATATATACTGTATTTGGGTCTTCGGAGCTCCTGAATAAGATAATCCACATTCTCCTAGAAAACAAAGAACAAATTAAGAATGTGCAGAATTGCTTTAGTAAAAAGTAATAAGGACTGGCAAGATGGCTCAGAAGATAAGAGCATTTGCTGCCAAGTCTGATGGCCTGAGCTGAACTCCAGGTACCCACACTGTGGGAGGGGAGAACCAGCTCTCCATTAATGTAATTAAAAACTAGTAAGTATCATAGTTCATTAACTGATCTACTTAGAGTCTAACAGGATGCTGAGATCAAGATTGTACTTGAAGGATGCAAACAAAAAGAAATATATTAAATATATCAGGATCTTATACACAATTTAATATATACATGTATGCTAAGTATCAGTTATTTGTATTATTTTGGTTAAATTAAGGTAAAATTAAAGGACACATAGCATATAAAATATAGCATAAAATTGCTACTAACTGCTTCAAGCTGCTTATCAATAAATTGTATTCATCTGATCAAATTTCTTACTTGGAAGAGCAAACTGTGTATAGTTCTTTACAAACAGGAGAAAATATAATTTAACTATATTCACTTTGGCTTTTAATTTACTGAGGTCTAAGAGTTCATAACTACAACATTTGTGAAGTATTTGTATCAGCCCAATACTCCTCCTATTATTATGTATTATTATGTATTATTATGTTAAAATAAAATAACAAATGCTGGAAAGTTAAAAAAATAAAAAATCAGTCCCTTTAAGATTTTTAAATTTTGTGCATGCATGTGTGCATGCATGCGTGTGTATACATGCACAGTTGCCTGTGAATACATGCACAGTTGCCTGTGAAGGACAGGGGCATCAGACTACACTGGAGCTTGAGTTACAGGTGGTTGTAAGCAGCCCTACATAGATGCTGGGAATCAAACATGAGTCCTCTATAAGAGCAGTACACACTCTTAACCAATGGGCCATCTCTCCTATCCAGTTCTTTGTATATAGTCGAAACATGAAAATTCTAATCACAGACCATTCTGATGAACACTTAGTCCGACTTTGGTACCAGAACACATGGTTAAATTTCAAATTAAATCAAGCCTTAAAACTAAAAATTGGAGGACAAAAAGGTTCTGCTACTTGTCATTGTTATTATCCTTTAAACAATTAAAAAAAACTGTTTAAAAATAATTTTAAGAAATGCTCAATGCAACTGGGGATGGCGTTACACACAAAACCCAGCACTCATAAGGCATAAACCAAGAGGATTTGGGTTTAAAGACAGCCTGGATGACATACCCAGACGCTGTCTGAAAGCAGGCAAACAACTGAACAGAAGTATACAATGCCCACTCAATGGGAGAAAAGTATGTACATTATATATGTTTATATTATACATAAACTTTTATAACATTTCTATTATGAAAAGATTTATTTGCTATGTGAGTGTATGTACACACGTGTATGTGGGTGTACATGCATTGGGAGGCTGGGAAAAGGTGTTGAGTGTTTTCCTTTATCACTTCCTGCCATTCATTTGAGGCAGGGTCTCTCCCTGAGTCTCTCACTGGAAGCCAGTGAGTCCCAGAAGTCTTCTGGCCTCCCCTCCCCTTTGACTTGGGTTAAAGGCATAGGGGGCACCCAGCTAGTTATGTAGGTGCTGGGACCCAACCTCATGATTGTGCATCATGTGCTCCTAGCTGCTGAGCCATCTCTCCAGTCCTGTTTTATTTTCCTCATTGTTTGTGATAGAATCTCCTGGAGGCCAAGCAGGCCTCAAACTTACTATGTAGCTAAGAATGACTTGGAACTTCAGATCCTTTTGCTCTATTTCCCAAGTGCTGCGATCATAGACATGTGCTACCATGTCAGGTTCACTGTATAATCTTAAGGACAAACTGTTTTAACAAGTAATTTAAGTAATTTAACATTATTGTTTTATAGGGCCAGGTAAAAAGGTAAAAGGTGTGAAGCCAAGAGAGTTTGATAGAATATATATGGCTATAAAAGAGGTCTCCTCATTTTATGTTAGGAGATACCTGACTAGTTCATCTCTAAGACCACTCATAACAACCATCATTTCATGTCTGAAAGCTACAAATATGGGAAAAAAACACATTAATTTAGCAACTATTTCTTAAGCATCTTTTATGTAGCCAGCATTATGGGAACATGATAGGATGGACAACCAGATAAAATTTTTGCTATTACGGAGCTTATTGTGGTAGGTAAACTAGATATCAATCCCAAAACCCAAATAACTTTGTCAAATAAGTATCACATGCCTGTAATCCCAGAACTCAGGAGGCAGAGGCGAGTTGCAAATTTCAGCCACCCAGGGCTACACAGTGAAACCTTGTTTGAAAACAGACAGCTTCAGCCATGACCAGTGACAGAAAGTGGGGCTGTGTGAGAGGGACATCTGACATGCTCAGTGAGGCCAGGGAAGTCTCAGGCAGAGGGAGGGGTCCAGGCAAAGGCCATGTGGCACGATGAAACATCAGAATGTAAGTGACTGAAGGCTGCTGTAGCTAAGGTGCAGAGGGGCAGAGGCTCCAACAGTAATACAAACTAGCCCGCGATGGACTCGGCAGTCGACAAGGAAGGGCTATGTTTTTACCATAAAAACCATGAGCAGTCACTCGGGTTTCAAGCTGGGTGACATAATCAGGTTGTCATTTTGGAAAGTACACAATATACCAGCATGATAAAAGCACAGTGGAGTTGACTAACATACATATGAGACAAGGAAAAATGAAGCCAGGCACAGTGGCAGACACGATCCCAGCACTTGAGTGGCAGAGGCAGGAGGGCAGCCACAAATCTGAGGCCAACCTCGTTTTTAGATTGAGTTCCAGGCTAGCTAGGGCTCCATGATGAGGCCCTGTTTCAAAACAAAAACAGAAAGAGAGAATATTAAAAAATAAAACATAGGAAAGGGTTTTTTTGTTTTGTTTTTTCCAAGACAGGGTTTTTCTGCATATCTTTGGAAGCTGTCCTGGAACTTACTCAGAGCTTCAAACTCAGAGATCTGCCTGCCTCTGCCTCCCGAGTGCTGGGATCAAAGGCGTGTACCACTGCCACCACCACACAGCTAGGAATGGTGTTTTTGTTTTTTGTTTTTTTTTAAACAAAACAAAAACCAAGGGGGCCAGTGAGATGAGATGGCTCAGTGGGTGAAGACTTGTGCCACCAAACCTGTCAACCAGAGTGAGTCCTGGGATTCATAGGGAAGGGTAGAACTGACTCCTGCAAGTTCTTCTCACACACACACACACACACACACACACACACACACACAGCCTGTGGCATGTGACACCCTACCCCCACCCCCACCATATATGTTTAGTTTAAAGGAGGCACTGAAGCCACATTTTCAATATGCTGTACAAAAGCTGAGAGAGGTCAAGGAACAAATAAAAGATGGAAATAAACATGTGGAGGGATGGTAACAAAAGGCTGGCTCGGCTTACGGGACTAGACTTGAGCACAGGAAGTTAAATGTGTAAAGACCAAACGTGGGAGGAGGAACTTTTCCTGTGAGGCTACTGGATTTATTGAAGGAGTAAGACAGGCACTCTAGGGATCACTTGTTTTTTATGAGAAAGGCATGGTCATTCCTAAGCATAGATGGGGTTAAAATGACAAAGGTTCAAGATAAGAAGAGCTGTATGAAAGCATGGCAGTGATGCTCAGTGCTACGTCTGGAGGTCAGCCCAGAACTAAACTGACCTCCGTTTCCAGCATTAGTGGCTTTGGGACTAGCTAGTCATCTACAATTTATCTTGAAGGAAAAACTGGCCGTCAGGGGTGAACCAAGGCATGGAAAGGAGAGGAAGAAAGGCCACAACACTGACAAAATGGGATAATTATAGCCACAAAAGATGGTAACACAGATTTATTTTGCCTTCTTAATGCTTTCAGCTCAGTATTCTGCATTTGCCTGCGGAGATGGCAGCTCAGTTTGTGTAGTACCTTTGTAGGTCGAAGAAAACAAATTGCTTTGAGGTGTTTCATGATCTCTCGATTTTGAGAATCAATTCGTTCGAAGAGGTATACTTCCTTCTGAAGAATCTCTGACTGTGTGTAAACCATACTCACTATACCAGTCTGAAAAGAAAAAGAATGAACTAAGATTACACTAGTCCAGACTAATAAAAACATGCATCAATAGTTAAGCCTTTTCCCCATTAACACTTGGCTAGGCATTTACATGCTAATACACGGAATAATATTTATTGAATATCCAATACCGGCGCGATGCGTTACAACGAAGCCTACTCTCTGAACACGAACAACTCAGAAATTTCGAAAGAGAATTTTCTCCATTTCTCTAAAGGTTCTCCCCCACCCCCGCCCTTAAGCTGTGGCCAACAAATAACCTGTCATTTCAGCTTGAGCCTCAACCATTTACTTTTAAAGACAAGGCTGACAGAGTCACCCTAAAGTCTCCCAAGTGTTCCCTGTGTCACCATTAACAACTTTTTTGGCAGACACTATTTCAGGTACAAGAAGTTAGAGCCGGTTAGACTGCACACCCACTAGGAAAGCTTCAGACAAGTTTCCCACTGCCAGACAGAAGAGACCATGGTCGTTAATGAGATGCTAAATCCTACAGTGGAACCGGAGCAGCAATTCTGAGGGAGGGAGGGAGGGCTTCCTTCACAAATATTGAGCAAAAGCGAACTCACCGTTTCTTTATCCATGAGAAGTACCTTCATGCCGGGCCCGCTGTCCTCTATCATTTTGGAGATGTACTGCTTCACTGCAAAAACCACGTTCATTGTGGCGAATTGACAGGTGCCCCACAGCCCTTCCCGCCCCCTTCCCTGGCTGAATTAACCTCAGGCCTGTTGGCTGGGTCTCAGCTGCTTCCGGTCGGCCAAGTATTGGCTTCCGGGAGTCCGGGTAGCTCCGGTACTGGGAATTGTAGTTCCCCCGTGGGGTCGCGGAACCAGACTCTGCTGCTAAGTGCGGGCGCCATTCCCGCCCGGCCTGGCGCGTGCAGTGGAAGGCAGCCTGCTCCCGCAGCAGGAGCTGTGCCGGCCTCTGGTTCCTCGTGGGGAGGGCTTGGCGCGTCGTGGTAGACACAGGGACATGGAGCGTGGCTGTGCTGCTTGCCTAGCACCCTTTCTGAAGACCGGCGCGCGTGCTTGTCAGCGTAGCCCTGGCAGGCAGGTTCCAGACAAGTCCGTACGGTAGCAAGTTTCCGGATAGCCCGGCTGGATTACATAGCAAGACCCCGTTTTAAAAGTATCCAAACAAGCCAGGCGTTGGTGGCGCTCGCCTTTAATCCTAGCACTCTACACAGCGAGTGCCAGGACAGCTCCAGGCTCCAAAGCAATAATACAGAAAGCCTTGTCTGGAAAAACGGAAAAAAAAAATGAAGAAGAAGAAGAAAAAGAAAAAGAAATATCCAAACAAACTTGAAGCCGTGGGATGGCATTGTGTATTTACTAGGCCGTGGACGAGGTTCGTCTTCCCGACTCCCCGTGGTCATTACAAGGCAGGGACAGTGCCCGGTGTTAGAGCTGCACGTAAGACTCGAGTTGGTTTTTCGAAGAAAGGGCGCCTGAAATTGATCACATTGTTGATTCATTGTTGAATGAATGAACAAAAGGAAGACCCTTTAGGGACGTGTGGGGGAGACCTCAGAGACCCCAGGAGAGCAAAGAGCTTCCTCTACCGCCCCCGCCCCCGCCCCCAGGTCTGCGGGGACTGCGAGCCCACGGCGCCCGTGGCACTGGACATCGCTGGCTTGCTGGAGCGTCGGGTTTCCAGGAACCCTGAAATGAGCTGGGGGCAGTTAGTCATTGGAGCTGAAGTAAACTAAGCCGAGGATTTAAAGGGAAACATTTTTTGTTTTGTTTTAATCTGAGAAGCAATGAAAACAAAAGATTGCTAATGAAAGATTAGCAATTAAGTGAATCTTAAAGCATCGACTTCCAAAGGTTTTTTTGTTTGTTTTGTTTTTTCTCCTCACCTTTACGTTAGAGAACTGTAAAACCTGGAAGACAAATAACTGCAACAAATCACTGACTTAGTGTTTCAGACATTTCAAAAAAAAATAATGTGTGTATGTGTGATGAAATTGGAAAGGAGATCACTAGAGGGGTGAAAGATTTTAAGAGAGGGGGCCCAGACCGACGGAGTAAGGCATTACAAAGAATCAAATACAAGGGGCACAAAAACAGTAGGAGGGACTGTTTAGTTGAGGAAGGGAACCAGGGCTCTTTGGGAAGGGTGGGGTGAGAGGTTGTGGGGTTGAAGGCACGAAGGAGGGGAAAGAATTAGATCTAGGTATAACTGCAGATGGATCTCTATGAGTTCTAAGCCAGCCTGGTCCTACAGAGCAAGTTTCAGGACAGCCAAGGCTACACAGAGAAACCTTGTCTGGAAAAACCAAAACCAGCCAGGAGTTGGTAGAGCATACCTTTAATCCCAGCACTTGGGAAGAAGAGGCAAGCAGATCTCTGCGTGTTTGAGTCCAGCCTGGACTACAGAGCTAGTTCCAGGATAGGCTGCAAAGAAATATACCCCATCTCGAAAAAACAAAACAAAAAGCCTAAAACGAGGTGTAACTGTAATAGGTATGAAAGTGCCGTTATGAAACCCATCATTTATGCTAACTTAAAAATTAATCAAAAAAATTAACGCACTTGGCATCACTAAACATTAGTTCTTTTAACACATTGTAAGAAATACTCGTTAAACAGACCAGAAGAGGCTAATTGGGTTAAGCAAATTTTATGGGATTTCCAAACCTTTTGAAGTAGACCAGAAGTCACCTCTAAAATTGTGAAAATGTGTTCCTTTAGTTTTCCAGCCAAGTAAATAAAGCTTCCTACTAGGTACTTTGAGACTCTTTTTTTTTTTTTCCCCCTTTATTCTTCCTTCTTCCCTTTTTATTTTATTTTGATTTTTTTGAGACAGGGTTTCTCTGTGTAGCCTTGGCTGCCCTGGAATTCTATTTGTAGACCAGTCTGGCCTGGAACTCTTAGATCTTCCTGCTCCTGCCTCCTGAGTGCTGGGATTAAAAGTGTGTGTGCCGCCACCGGCTTTTTTCTTCCTTTTTGTTTGCATAGGGTTTTGCTATGTAACATAGGCTGACTTTGAACTTGTGATTCTCCTGCCTCCTCAGTCTCTCCTGTGCTGGAGTTATTGGTGTGCAACTCCTGTTCAGATGTGTTTAGAGAGAAGCCTTAAAGCTTTATATTAAAATGAGACTGTTACATTAACTACACACAAATGAAACCTAATATCATATAATTCTGTTTTATCAGTAAAACATTCATATATTATAGAAAACACTGAATCAGCAAAGAAAATAAAATTTCCCCACAAACCTAGCAAGCTACTGGTCCCAAAAAAAACCACTATCTCCCATGTCCCTTGGAATTTTTTCCTTACCTGGACTGCAATATAGTATGTCGTATTTTTTTGGTTGACTTTCTATATTTTACAAATAACAACTTGTAGGAAAATGATTGTCCATGAAATGAGTGCTGTCTCAGTCAATTTTTAAGAAATGAGTGGGAAAAAAATCCTCAGAGAGCTATGACTCTCTGAAGGAGAGGGGAAATGCCTACCTTAATAAAGTTCACTAATTCCCATCCCCATAAAATCCATGGAGGCCAGTAACAGTGTTACTTAACACACTGAATGAAAACAAATGTAGCCATAAGCATTTTGGAGAAATTGTTACCTTTATAATGGGTGCTGTGATGGCCCTGACATTCAACAGTGTCTTTCCTTCCGGAAGAAAACCACACAAGTTATTTTAAATGTTTCTACAGTAAGGACTAATTCTGTATTTCTAAAAATAAGACTGAAATGCTCTGTGACTCATCCAGGATAATCCCAGACTTGATATGTCACAGGAAAGAGAAAGCATATTCCCAAGGCAATATGAACTGCCTTACTTATTTTTTACTGCGTAAGTAAACTTACAAATATTTTAACAATAATGACATTACATTTAAAAATAAAACTATGATATTCTTCATATATGAGTGATTATTTGAACTATAAAAACCTTCAGAAATAGATATGTGATCAGTTTATATTTGTGCCGAGCATAATGGTGTATACCTTTAGTCCCAGCACTTGGGAGGCAGAAGCAGGCAGATGTCTAAGTTTGAAGCCAGCCTGATCTACATAGTGAGTTCCAGAACAGCCAGACTCTTGTTTTTTTTTTTTTGTTTTTTGTTTGTTTTTTTTTGGGGGGGGGAGGGAAGTTTATTTTTATTGGTTTCCAGAAGCCGTTGCTTTAAGGATATAAAAGAGGAAGTTAAAATGTGATATTTATGTCTGCAATTTAATTTAGACTTGTGCATTTTTGCATGTTAAATAAGTCATGATAATTATCAAAATAATTTCATGTACATTAACTTTTCCCCAAAACGTGTACTATTTGGATGTTTAAGAACCTATTTTATTTTATTTTATTTTTTTGGAAATAGGGTTTCTCTGTGTAGCTTTGGAGGCTGTACTGGATCTAGATTTTGTAGACCAGGCTGGTCTAGAAGGAGCCTATTTTATATTTAGCTGAAAAAATGACTTTTTTCTCTACTAGAACTCAATATTTCAATATAAAACAAAGGGCGGGTTCAATCCCAGCACTCTGGAGGCAGAGGCAGGTGGATCTATGTGAGTTCAAGGACAGCTTGGTCTAGAGAGTGAGTTCAGAGAACACTGGCTTGAAAAATCAAAAAACAAAGGATATGTAGGTAAGTTCCGTATATTACAATTACAATAACAATATGAAAGACTTTAGTTACATTAAATTATTAATTCTTGAATTTACCATCCTTGTTGCTCCATGTAAATACGTTTTCCTCATCACCTTTCCTGACTTTAAGCTCTACTACAGAGCTATAGTTCTGAAATCAGCCTGATACTGGCACAAAAATAGACAGGTAGACCAATGGAGTCGAATTGAAAATCCTGATATTAACCCACACACCTATGAACCTGATTTTCAAAAAACAGCTAAAATTATACAATGGGGCGAGGACAGCATCTTCAACAAATGGTGCTGGCACAACTGGATGAGGGTGTGTAGAAGACTGCAGATAGACCCATGTCTGTTGCCATGCACAAAACTCAAGTCCAAATGGATCAAAGACCTCAACATCAATCCAGCCACACTGAACCTCTTAGAAGAGAAAGAA